TTTGTTTCAAGTTTATTAAAATTTGAAGTCAACGTGGTATTCTTATAAGTGCATCTTCTAATGCTTCAATCCAAGATTATTACAGCTAAGGTCTAAACAAGGCATCGTGGCATTCTTGCAAAATGCATCTGATAATGCTTTTTTTTTTAATCCAAGATACCTTCCTAAACCCCATCCAGATTGCCCAAGGTCTAACGAAGGTAACATTGTGTTCTGCATAGTACATCTGCAAATGCTTTTTCATCAAATGATATAGGTTCATTAAAACTGATATTCATGTAAAGTGAATCGACTAATGTTTTTCTTCCTGATTTAAGATTATTTCCACTAAGATACAAAGAAGTTGGTATAGCATTCTTGTAAAGTGCATCTGTTAATACCCTCTTCCTTCTAATCGAAAATTATTACAGACGAGAATTAAAAAAGCGGTGAAGCATTTTGTAAAGTGCATTTTCGAATATCTTCCCTCTTTTAGACCCGTATTATTACTCTAAAATTCAAATAAGTCAGGATCCTTAATGATTTTCCACCAGATACAGGTTTATTATTATTAAGATTCAATGAAATCAGCGTGGTGTTCTTACAAAGTGCAATAGCTAATACTTTTTCTTCATTGTTACGCGCTGTACAATGATTTTAATGCGGTACAGTTGTAAGTATATCTGTTAATACTGTTAATACTTCTCCACCTTATAGTCAAGTTCATTATTATAAATATTCAAAGAAGCAAGCACAACGTTTTCGTAGAATGCATCTGCCAGTGCCTTTTTTCCTTTAGATTCAAAAAGTTAGTATAGTGTTTCGCCAAGTGCATCATCTTCTCTCCGATCCAAGATTATTACAGTTAAGTTCGAGAAAACTTAACTGCCGTCCTTGCAAGTACACCTGCTACTGCATTTTATTCTTCTTCAAAGATCATTATATTGAGGACAATGTAGTATTCTTACAAAGTGCTTTTTATAACTCATTTACTCTTCCAGTCCGCATTTAGAAGATTCCTGAGATTGATGCATCTTTTAATCTTCAACATTATGAAGACAGTTCTTGAGAATTTCTTTATTGTATAGATAAATGATGTTATAATTTCGAGCGAGTTTACAATTACGTTTATATTTTCATGGTTTGAAGAAACTTGTCTATACTGAACTAATGTTCTACATAATTGTGTTGACTCAAATAGAGAAAAGCCCATAGATAAGTACACAAATATATTGAACCTTACGAATTATGTTCGGGCAACGATCCTGCTATTCGCTAAGAAACAAAATTAATTCTTAATTGTCTAAAATAATTTATTCGTAACGAAACATCGGAGTGTATAGAAACAGAGGGACATTTTTGATTCTAAAGTTTGAAACGACAGCCCTTCACTTAAAATTATATAAAGGATTACTTCAAAGCTTTAAACATCAGATTTTTATTATGTTTATATTTATGATTATTTAGATTCTAAATATTGCCAACCATTGAGTCTGAAGATATAGATATTTCATTAATCTGTTTTGATAATCCAAAATCTGTTGCTTTTGTTTTGATGAATTAAGATGTTCTTTAAATACTGAATTTTTAAAATATTAGTGAAATAATAAATATAATATCAGACAACGTATGTAGTACTTATAAGTCGGATTTTTATTGTGTAAGAAAGTCTTGAGTCTTTGCCACAAGACTATTTACATCAGAATGATGCCAAACAAGGACCGTAAATAATGTTCTACGTTGACAAATATTATCAATTTTATCATACAATAAACAAATTATTCTAATACATCTGAGTCAAATTTTGATCTTATACAACCTAATTTTAAAGCACACTTTTTGTATATGTGCTGTGTGGTATAGGAAATTTAAAAAAGTCAATTTATATAATGATGCATAGATTGGTAATACTGTACATTTAAAATATATTTCTTTAAATTATAAATCTCCATAAAATAACGAATCTAGAATTCTCAATCTCTGAATAGAGATAATACTGTACATACGTACTTAACAACTAACTATAATTAAAAATAAGCCGCACTGAATTTAACTTATCTCCAATGTGTTTTATTATATAAAGTGATTGAGGTTTGTAGATTTCCTTTTTATTTTTGGCAAATTTGGGAATTCCTCTAATGTGTTTTATTATATAAAGTGATTGAGGTTTGTAGATTTCCTTTTTATTTTTGGCAAATTTGGGAATTCCGATCCAGCCGAGCATGATTCCGATAATTACAACCCATAATTTGGGAATCTTGTGAATTCTGCTTCGGCTATTGGCCGTGGCCAATGGAATCAAAAATTGACAAGTACATTTGTTTTAAAAATATATATTAGAAGTGGATACGTATCTCATTCCAGAACCGGCCTAGCATGAATTGTTACACATAAACCCAGTATGTTAAATGATGACGTCCGATCTTCCCCCCTAGCGACAAATTTAGTTGCACACATGAATGAATCAGCTGATGTCGTACATACGTACATTATAAGGCTAACGTACATGCTTGTCATTACATTCATACGCACGTACTTAGCATAACGATAGTAAAAAATGGCCGCCAAATTTTATGACCAACTTTCCCATGACTATACGCAACTTCTGGAAAGTGAATATGATTATAATGTTGCTATTGAAGTTGGAGAAAAACCGAATAATAAGATCTTCAAAGCACATTCAGTAATTTTGTATTATCGTTCAGTATATTTTCGTCAAGTATTAACAAATTCGACAAAGAAGAATAATGTTTTCAAAATTAAATTACCTCATATTACTGTTAAAGCATTTAATGTTATTATCAAGTAAGTAATATATTATAATTAATGAATATTTCTTTATAAGCAAAAACTTAGGACTTGTTTTTTTTTTAATCGTTGAATAGATTCATTTATGGTGGTACAATCACTTTAGAAAATTTTGAGCCTGTAGATATATTGGATCTATTAGTCACGGTCAATTCATTAGCACTTGTAGAATTGGCTGATCATATTCAAACTCATCTTATTGATAACAACGAACCTTGGCTCCGATCGAATTTTTTTCGTGTTTATCAATTAAGCTTTCCTTTCAAAAACGGTCTTGGAATTTTAAAAGATTTTTGTAATAAAACTGTTACAAAGAATCCAAACATGATTTTTAATTCAGAATATTTTCCCACACTTCAAGAGGAGGCGTTGATTTCACTTTTAAAGAACGATGAATTACAAATGGAAGAATCAGAAATTTGGGATAAAGTTATTCAATGGGGAAGAGCAAATACACGAAACTTACCGATGGACCTTGAACAATGGATTGACGGAGACTTTATTGCCTTAAAAGAAACACTTCGTAATTGTCTTCCTAATATTAGATTCTTTCAAATTAATGGTGAAGATGTTATAAAGAAAATCAAACCATATCAAAGTGTTCTTGATAAGAATTTATGGGATGATATCTTAACAAAAAATTTAGCCCCAAATTTGCCTATTAATTCATCAGTTTTACCTCCTCGTAAAAAAGAATCACCACAATTGTCATCTAATCAACCACCTAATGCAGATACGTTTACATTTAGTCAGCCATCTAATGGAGAGTTTACATTTAGTCAACCATCTAATGTAGAACCATTTTCATCATTAATTACATTACAACAAGCAGCAGAGATTTCATCCTGGATTGATCGACGTTCAGCAATCTATAACATTACAGAAATTCCTTATGAATTCACATTATTGCTTAGAGGTAGCAATGATGGGTTCACGGGTGAGATGTTTCATAGATTATGCGATAATAAACCTCGTACCGTGATTGTCTTAAAAGTTAATGGTTCAGATGAAATACTTGGTGGCTATAATCCTCTTACTTGGAAAGTTGCTGAAGGACATGCTGCAACACCAGATAGCTTTATTTTCTCTTTGAAAAGTGGAAATTCCAACAAGTCCATTGTTAGTCGTGTAGCTGACCCATCACACGCAATTATGAATAGTGGTCAAATAGCACGAGGTCCATGCTTTGGTGGTGAATTTTTTATTGGTGATCTTGCTATGGCAAGTACTTCTGAACTTAAAAAATGGTATCATGGAAAAAAATATTATCATGATCAGATCAGAAATAATACAGGATGGTTTTATATAGATGAATATGAAGTGTTTCAAGTTTGTAAAAAAGCTTAAATTTAATTGTTTTTAAAATTATTAAATTTATTAGCTCATAAATGTAAACGCTTTCAAATAAAAACAATCTCTTCATCAATATATCAGTGACTGTAATGTTTATTGTAATTTATTAATGAAATTAAGAGTCCCTAAATGAGAATTGTTGAATATACAATAGCGACGAATTTTTAAAGAAATGATTTCCATATTATGAATTGATATCAATCAACCATAATATAATCATGATATTTCTTTAAATCCAAATCTGTTTTTAGGTTTCAAAAATAGCTGACGCAGTAATGTAAAAATTTATTCCGTGAGACAAAAATTTAAAGAAAATTATATCATTAAATTGCAATTGTGATAAGTATATGAGCTTTAAATTAACCCCTCTTTTATTCACAAATTTATATAGGACGAATTAAAATTCCAAAATTTACTATAAAATCTAATTATAGCTGTTTTAGATTTGATCGATTTGTGATATAAAAAATTTTTTGTAGATAATTACTTAAATTCGGTATTGAATTTATTAATAAAGTTGAATGTTAAAATATTTGACATACTAGTTTAAACCTTTATAGTTTTAACTAATTCATATTTCACTGTGGACCAAACCGAAACATCAAAAAAGTTTGATGAATTTATTTCATAAAAGTCAAGAACTAAATTACCTTAACAGATACTTCTAATATACAGTGTAGTATATTTGCCGATATATGATATACTTATATATTTAAATACTAATAAAATGAAATATACATATACATATGTTAATAAAATTAGTATTGCAAAATGAAAATGGAAATCTCAATTTTTGGATATTCATTTCACAAGATAAGGTTTATCTCAGGAAAATTTGATATTGATAATGATAATAAACATCACCATTTATAGGCGATGAAATTAAAATTTTCAAACTATTGCAGTACTGTGCAAAGTAGAAGATCCAAAAAAGTTTTCAAAATAATATACATTACCTTCTGATGGCCTTCAGGGTATCTAGGACCGGTAACTTCAATAGAATCAATAATTTTTCGAATTTCAGCTAATTCTTCAGCGGTTAACTTGACATTGGCAGCATGAACATTTTCTTCCAAATATTTAATTTTTTTAGTACCGGGAATTGCAACGATGTTTTCACCCTAATTTAACCGATCAGAATTTTTAATTATGGTATTGTTGCGAAATAATCGAGATATTTATAAGCGCTGTTTCGAGATGCTTATGTGCGTTATTTCGAAATAAAAGGACAAAATTTTGAACTTGATACACATATATCAAATCCACTAATACATGTTATACAAAGTGCGTAATATTTTTTTTTTCGGGACGCGCATGAAAATTAATTTGAACCAAAATAGGACAAGAGCATTATTTCACGACTATACGATACGAAATAGTTTAACATTTATATGATTAAGTATAGAATCGAAGCATACCTGAGCCACAACCCATGCCAAACAAATTTGACTAGCAGTAACGCCTTTCTTTTCGGCTATCTTTTCAATTTCTTTTACGAGATCTAAATTTTTAGTAAAATTATCTCCCATAAAACGAGGAAGGTATCTACGAATGTCATTAGGTTCAAAATCATTTATGGATTTATATCTTCCCTATATATTTGTAATTAATAAGAAATTAGTAGTGTTACTGTATTAGCTAACGTCATTATTATATAATGCTTTTCTGTATAAAATAAATGATAATAATGAATAAAATAAAAAGCGTACCGATAATATACCACGCCCTATTGGGCTATACGCGACAATTGTAACACCAAGTTCTTCACAAGCTTTTTTAAGTCCATTTGTTTCAATGTCAAGGGACCATGGACTGTATTCCATCTGTATAGAATGTAAATATATGTATAAGTACATATATTTTATAATATAGCATATATTTTTTAAATTATTAAAATTACATGCCTGAACAGCGGCGATTGGGTGAACTTTGTGAGCGCGTCGAAGCGTATCAGCTGAACATTCAGAAAGTCCAATATATTTAACTTTACCCTTTTCAACAAGTTCAGCCATAGCCTTAACTGTATCTTCAATTGGACTGTGCGTTATAATATTATCATTAATAATATTGTTATTAAAATATTTTATTAATTAATGTTTTATTAATTAATAATATTAATATAAAAATCTATTTATTCCACGGTTCTTATTTATACTTCCATACTATTTGTTCATGCTTGTTGCCCAGATCTTGAGTTCGATTAATCCGAAACCTTTATATTTCCTTTTTGATTATATGAATATCTTTTTTTTGGTTTAATGTTATTATACGTACCTTAACGACTTTTTAATGCGTTGTCAAAAAAAAGTCACCGAGTAAAAGAAAAAAAAAACAACGGATAGAAGAAATCTCATGATCAATAAACAAAACTTTTACTAAATACGCCACTTTATTAAAAAATGGTATGGAAGTATAAATAGAACCGTGGAATAAATTAGTTATTGCCTACTTCGTGGGCAATAACAATAACTTACACGGTAGAGTCAACACGATGTTGATAATATAGATCAATACAATCAACACCTAATCTTTGTAAGCTTTTTTCGCATGCTTCGTGAACATATTCTGGCTTCCCATTTACATCCAAGAACTCCCCATTTTCTCCGCGAACATTACCAAATTTTGTACAAAGAAAAATTTCATTACGTCGATCTTTAAGAACTTTTGAAAGTAATATTTCGTTGTTTCCGCAACCATACATGTCCTTGATTATAATTATTCGTAAAAAATAAATTCAAAAAAGGATCGTCGTACACTCTGCAGAAGACACCTGCCGGGTGCTCTAGAAAAACACCATAGCTAGACTTAGGAGAA